TATAATAATTAATATTATTTTTTGTTTCATTAAATTTATAAATCAAATATTATAATTTATTTATTAAATACAATATTATAAATCAAATTATCAAAAATAAAACTAAATATATCAAAATGTATAAATTAATATACTTAATATTATAAATTTAATAAACTAAAATTTAAATTTAATATTTTTAAATATACAATATGATTATAAATTTATATTACACAAATAAAAAACTAAATAGGAAATAAAAATAAAACTAACCAGAAGGATCATTCGAGTCGTCGGAAAAGTCGGAAAGAAAGTCATCATTATTTTGGCCACCATTGTTGGAATTTCTACCAAATGCTTGCATAAATTGTCGCATTTGCTCCTCCATATCAGCCTGCCTCTTTGCCATTGCCTCAATTTCTCTATTATGTTCACCCCTCATTGCCTTCATTTGGGCCTTCAATGCCGCCTCACGTTCTTCGGACTCGCGTCTAGCCAATTGTCTTACCAGTTCTAACTGATCTGGTGTCAAATTTGTTTGACGTGACCCTCCTTCACCGTCTGCAACTCTCTGATACAAATTTCTATCCCCACTCCTCAAGGTGCCCGTCAAATTTCCACCACCAAAAAAACACCCGTTAGGCCCCTTTCCCCCAACAACTTGACTCCAAATATAGAAATCCACATCCGAATGAACCGGTTTTCCCGGAGGAGGAGTATACTGAGGATTATGGGTCAGAAATTCTACAAGCAAGGCCTGATAATCCTCCTACACATACAATAAAAAAATCAAGTTAAATATATAAGTAAAATTAATGAAATTAAATTAAATAAAAATAATAATAAAAAACAAATAGCCACGTGATTGTAACGTCGCAACTTATCAGTTGCCACTCAATTTTCACGCCACAACATCTCACTTGCTACGTGAAAATCACGTCACAAAATTTCTTTAAAATATATATATATATATATATATATATATATATATATATATATATATATATATATATATATATATATATATATATATATATATATATATATATATATATATATATATATATATATATATATATATATATATATATATATATATATAAACATAAATTTACTTACCAGGGATTTTTTTGTACGCTCGTCAATAAATCCTCCTGATTTCTTTGTCTGAGTTTCGGTAACCAGCTCAGTCATCAATGGTTGTCTCCCCAAACGCTTAGCCTAAATAAAAAAAATTAACTTAAATTAATAATATATGTTATAAATCCAAATATGACTTTAAAAAGTGGTAATAATTATCATGTGTCGAGCATGCTCAGCAGTACTAATACTTCCAACAACATTAAGGCAACCCCTTTTTCCGATGCCCTCATCTTCTTTGCATTTTCAGATTTAGCCTTAAATTCATCTGATTCCCAATACTTAAGAAGTTGTTTAAAAACTTCTTTGCCTATCCATTTGGGATGAATGCCCAAACGTTGTCAATTCTCTCTAACACGTCGTAGCATGTCAGAAAGTCGTCTTGAACTCCTGCCAAAATAATTTTTCCTCAAATTCCATAGGCGGTTGCATAGCCGGTTGACTACTTGAAGCATCTGTGTTGCTAGTCTCTGATACATTACTCAGCAGTGTTTCACCATTATACGTCCAAACCCAATAATTTTCAATGAAACATTTTCTATGCAAATGACGTGTTATTTCCTCTGGGTCACTAATTATATATCTACATCCACATTTAAGACAAGGACACCTAACTCCTCATTCACTTCGACAATGTTCCTGAGTAAACGTCCACGTGATAAAACCATTAACTCCGTCTATAAAATTGGGTTTAAGTGTGCGTCTTCCTGGATATAGTCTATCGTACATCCAACTACGATAATACCTATAATATTCCATTTACTGCAAATTTATATAATCAAAACCTATTTAATTAGAAATATTAATTAATCAACTTAATAATAATCCTAAACATATACTATTAAAGATAAATATATGCTTTTACTTTAACTATTTTTAATATATAATATTTTTTATTATATACTATTAAATATACTATATATTAATATATAGTTTATTAAATATATAATAATTAATAAAAAATATGATAACTGTCAAATATGACACATTTGTCCATGGATTTTTTTATTAATAAATAATAAATATTAATATTAATTTTACTTTATTTTCAATTACGCATAAATTTGTCTTCATTTCCATTTATTTACAATTATGTATTGATATTTAAAACGGCTCATTAAAGAAAAAATCATATTCACTAAATATATTTGGCTTTAATGATGAATTATGGTAATTACTTATATGTTTATGAAAATTAAATTTTTAGTGACAGTAAAGTAAATGTACATATGTTTCAAAAAACATCAAGTGACTATTATACTTTTTCTAATTCTAACTTATTAGACTTAACAACATTCCATTAAAATAGTTCATCCCAAAAAAAAATATTTTCAGTTAAGACAAAAAAATTTAATTTAAACACTTAAAATTTATAAACTCCTAAAAATATTTTTTACTTTCTTTATAAATTAATAAATAAAAACTTATAAGGATAAAATCTTTTTGATTTTTAAATTGCAAATGATTAAAATGATTATTGTTATTATTTTTATTATTCACTAAGTCACTACATAAATTAATAATTATAACGGTTGTATTCATCACAATTTATTTATTTATTTGTGTTTTTCACTAATTACTATATTTATTATTATTTATTTTGTAACATTAATTTACTTATTACTAAATTTTTATTATATACCCCTAAGAATATAATCAACTTAAATTTTAAATGGTTATAAAGATATAAAATATAAAGTAATAACGATATAATCTTTTTTATTTTTAAATTTAAAATAAACTAAATAATAAAAATGATTAATATTATTATTCCTAACAAATTAAATATTTTTTATTCTATTTTTATAAATTAAATAAAATCAGATTCAACCAAATTCAATTAAAATTACAATATTATAATTTAACCCAAATTCAATCTAAAATTTAACTAAATTCAGAAAATATACTAAATTCAAAAAAAAAAATCCAAGAAATACCTCTTATCTTCTAACTCCTTCAATCTTCTTGTCCCTTTTTGCAATCTACTTCTATCAATCTTCTTCTATTCAAAGAAAAATTAAAAAAAATTAAATCCCATAATACAATAAATAAAAAGTTGTTAACAAAATAGAGACAAAATTGAATTGAATTTACCTTAAAACAACAATTAATGGAGATTGAAGAGATTTTATATTATAGAAGAACAAATTTTATGAAGAAGAAAATGGTTATGGAGGGATGGAATGAGGAGAAGAGGGTTGAAGAAGAAGAGTTTTTATTGTAACATAACAATACTGTCTGTCTGTGGAGCGTGCTTGAAATAAATATATAAAACACTTAGCGACGTGAAAATCATGCCGCAACGTTGCCACGTGATTTTCACGTCGCAACCATCCCAACAGTTATATTCTCTTTCTTCACATGCCTTCAAAGCCTGAACACGCCAGTCTGTAATGATTTAATTTTTCCCTCTTAAATGTTGCGACGTGAATAACACGTCGCAACTTTCTTTTTTAAAATTTCAAAATGACAACCATCTGAACGTTAGAGCAATTAAATTATTTTTTATTGTATTTTTAGTAGCGACGTGAATCCCACGTCGCAACATATTTTTTTTATAAAAAAAGACTGACAACCACCAAACTTCTTTATTTTATTAGTAAAACATGTTGCCACGTGATTTTTACGTCGCAACTGACTTTTTTTTTTATCACATAAAAATCACGTGGCTGGAGAGCCTTTTTCTTGTAGTGATGATGAAGACTTGTTGAAGTTATTTTGACAAAAAGTTAGAGAGAAGTTAGAGTTTCTCAAGTGACGATAACCGCGATTGTCTTATTATTGATGTATGAGGTGGACCAAATTGTAAAATTGAAATCTAAAGATAAATAGCATTTTGATGCGCACCTAAAGAACTATGATATAATTATTAAGACATATCTTTTAAGTGAGAGATTGTTAGAATATTTTTTAATATTATTTAATATTTTAATAATTATTATATGAGTATATATTTTAGTTGTATTAATTATTTTATCAAATTAAGTGCATTAAATAATTAAGTTATTAAATAAAGTTAAAAGACTAATTAAATTTTATATAGAAATTAATTAATTAATTGAATATGAGTTTAAATATGAGTGAATCTCTGATCTATTTCGAAAAAATTGTTACCCTAATTGTCTACCATTTTATAAATAAATTATAATTTTGAATATATCATACACAAACAGTTTATCTATTCTCTTTATTTAAAGAGTATTCATAGTAGGAGTATAGATTGAATAAGAACCACACTATCCATTAAATATTCGTCGTTGGTCTCTTAACATTCAGAAATACGGTCAATAAGACATTTCTCAATGGATTTAGATATTCTTAAAATCGATACGTAAGTATTTTAATTATATACATGTCTAAATAACTATCTATTTTTCACTAAATTATTATATATTATACTTTATGATGGATAATTAATTCTTACTTGGTTGGAACTTTTTTTAACGTTAAATGAAAAAGCTTAGAACAATAGACTTGCCAATTTATTTTCCTTATAGTATTATAGACTTCTAATTAATGCCAAAATAACTCATACTATATAACCGTTATAAAAGTCAAAATAATTATTGTATTAACAATAATGGATTTAAATTGACTTGACACTATAATATAACCGTTGTGTTTGTATGAACAGAAATGATAAATTAACAACAAAAAAAACAACAACTTATGATAAGGTTATTCATATTTTTAACATAAGATGTGATAAGATGCTTTGGTTCCTTAGGTTACATGAACACCAAGAAAATTAGAGTAACTAGATACTTACCATAATAAGTATCGTCATTTTTTTATTTCTTAGTCTACTGGTATACAGCCATCATAAAGCTGGCTGTAGAGGATCAAAGTTCACTCTTATTCATTACACATACAGGTATGACTTAATTTGGCAACAAGGCGTTCAAAGCCGTGGAGACAGATGCGGCTATTGCTTCGGAAACTTGTGTCACAAATTGAAGAGCAGATTTTATAAGATACACCTTTATCTGATTGCTGTAATTATTTCCAACATCATTGAATCTATCCCAAAGCATAACTCCTCCATAGTTAGGAGTATGTTTAATGAAAGGGAAGAACCTTAGTAATAAGATCAATCGGTGGTATATAACCACCACTAGGAGCTGCATTAGGTGATGCTGGTAATCCCAAGAAAACCGTATTATTTGGTAGAACCAACGATGTCCAAGCATTCCATGATTGTAAAAGCAATGTAGCATCAGAAGTTGCTATGTTATATTGGCATGGAGGGTTATTGTAGAATTGAACAAATACATAATCAAATAACCCCGTTTTGATAGCTTTGTCTAGATAGTAATCTGGCATGAAACATTTGTTGAATAAACATAAATTCAAAACATAACTGTTACTATCATAACAAATAAAAACTATTGTCCTTCCTACTACTATACTTAATGTAAAGCTTTTATTTCTAACACATTTAATGTTTATTTAACAAAACTCCTCTTTAAACTTTAAATGATTCTTCGATCCAGCATCCCAATCATCTTCTTGCCTCTTTCGAATACTTCTTTTGATAGTGGTTTTGTGAAGATACCCGCTACTTGGTTTCTGCTTGCTACATGCCTTAGTTCGACACTTCCCTCCTTCACATGTTCACAATGAAGTGAAATCGAACGTCTATATGTTTGTTTCGTTCATGATTCACTGGATTCTTTGCCAATTCAATAGCTGATTTATTGTCCACTTGTATTATTGTTGGACCTTCCTGTTTCAGCTCCATCTTGCTTATCAACCTTCTGAGCCATATTGCATGGCAGACGCACCAGGATGCTGCCACATATTCTGCTTCACACGTCGAAAGTGTCACTATAGGCTGCTTCTTCGATAGCCATGTAAAAGCTGTGTTTCCCATGAAAAACACATATCCAGCAGTGCTCTTTCGATCGTCTATGTCTCCACACCAGTCACTGTCAGAATAACCAGCTAACTTGTAATTTTCTGTCTTTGAATAGAACATCCCAAGCGATACTGTTCCTTGGATGTATCTTAGAATTCGTTTCAGCGCCTTCCAATGTGTGTGTACTGGCTCCTCCATGAATCTACTCACTATGCCAACACTTAGTGAATATCTGGCCTTGTGCATGTGAGATATCGAAAGCTACCTACCAAGCTTCGATATTTGCTTCCTTCGACCCGTTCTCCTCCATCAAACTTCGACAACTTTGTACCTGGCTCCATTGGCGTTGAAGTTGGATTGCAATTCTTCATTTTATATTTTTCTAGGATTTCCTTTGCATACTTTTCTTGTGATATGAAAATTCCAGCTTCTTCCTGTCGAACCTCCAGACCAAGAAAAAATCTCATCAGACCTAAGTCTGTCATTTCGAATTCGCTTGTCATGGTGCTTTTGAAGTCTTCGATCATCTGAACAATACTGCCTAGAAAAATAAGATCATCAACATAAAGAGCAACAAGTAATAAATCACTTCCATTTTTCTTCACATAGAGGGCTGGTTCATAAGGACATTGCTCGAATCTATTCTCCTTAAAATATGTGTCAATACGTGTGTTCCATGCCCTAGGTGCTTGCTTCAGCCCATACAGTGATTTCTTCAGTTTCAACACCTTCTTCTCTTCTCCAGTTCTCATATATCCAAGTGGTTGTTCGACATAGATTTCTTCTTCGAGCACACCATTCAAAAATGCTGTCTTGACATCCATTTGAAATATTGGCCATTTGAACTTAGCAGCTTGAGAGATGAGTAGTCGAATTGTCTCCATTCTTGCAACAGGCGCGAACACTTCGTCATAGTCAATTCCTACTTTCTGCTTGTATCCCTTCGCAACCAGCCGTGCTTTGAATCTTTGGATTTCTCCTTGAGCATTCATCTTTTTCTTAAATACCCACTTTACACCAATGGGTTGACTTCCTTTTGGTAATTCGACCAGCTCCCAAGTATTGCTGCGTTCGATTGCTCTAATCTCTTCGTCCATGGCACTTTTCCACTTTTCATCTCTTAACGCTTCTTCAACACTGATGTTTTCAGCATCTGCCAGAAGACACACAAGATGCACTTCACTTGTTGAATCATACAAGTCTTGCAAACTTCTCATTTTGGGTTGTAGAGGTTCATCTCCATCTTCTGTTTCTTCATGTTCTTCTGGAATACTTGTTGGTACAGCTATAGTTGTTTCTTCGACTGTGTCAACAACCTCTATCAAAATGTTCCAGTCCCACTTGCTGGCTTCGTTCATTCGAACGTCTCTGCTCACAATCACTTTCTTGCTTATGGGATTGAAGAGCTTGTACCCTTTCGTCTTCTCATCATATCCAATGAATATGTACTTCTGACTTTTGTCTTCAAGCTTTGTTCTTCGTTGATCTGGTACATGTGCATAAGCTATGCTACCAAATACCTTGAGATGGGAGATTGTTGGCTTCTGTCCACTCCATGCTTCTTGTGGTGTTTTGTCTTCTAACTTCGAATGTGGACACCTATTCTGAATGTAAACAGCACATTGTACTGCTTCTGCCCAGAACTCTTTCGACATGTTCTTGCTTTTGAGCATTGATCGAACCATGTCAAAAATAGTTTGATTCTTCCTTTCAGCCACACCATTTTGCTGAGGTGAATATGGTGCAGTTAGGAATCTCCTTATGCCCTGTTCTTCACAGTACTTCACAAAGGCCATCGAAGTATACTCTCCTCCTCTGTCAGATCGAATTGCTTTGATGTGTCTTTCTGTTTCCTTTTCCACCATTACTTTGAACTTCTTGGACACTTCTAGTGCTTCAGATTTTTCTTTCAGGAAGTAGACCCAGGTTTTTCTTGAGAAGTCATCAATGAAGGAAATGAAATACCTTTTTCCACTGAAGGATTCTGGAGTAATTGGCCCACATATGTCAGTATGTATCAATTCGAGTATTTGTTTAGCTTGATACTCTGCCTTCTTTTGAAATGAGGTTCTTGTTTGTTTGCTGAGCACACATTCTTCACAGAATTTTCCTTCGAACTCCATGTCTGGTAATCCATGCACCATGTTCCTTTTCGCCAACCTTCTCAGACCAGCATGATGTAGATGACCAAAGCGCATGTGCCATAGTGACGCTTTGTCTTGCACTTCGATCTGCAGACATTTCTCTCGAATGTTCCTCAGGTTCAGTTTGTACATTCGATTTCTTTCCATTTCGACAGCGGCAATAAGATATCCTGCTTTGTCCTTCAACTGCAGTGTTCGATCTTTCATCAGTATCGAAGCACCTTTTTCTGTGAGTTGTCCCAGACTTAATATGTTAGTCTTAAGGTCTGGTACATAGTAAACGTCTTCGATTGATCCAATCAAGCCATCCTTCTGCAAGTAGCTGATTATGCCCTTTCCTTCAACCTTCACTTTCGATGCATCTCAAAAAGACACACTTGTAGCATTCGAAGTTGGAATAATTCGAACGACCACCTCTTTGACCACGTCCTCTGCCACGCCAATTTTGTTGGCTCGAATTTCCTCTCTCGAAGTTGCTACCTCTACCACTTCGACCACTGTCACGACCTCCACGTCCACGTCCTCTTCCATATCCACTGTAAAAGTTTATTTGAGTCTATAAAAAACCAAGTGTGTAATTTATTTATTAAGAGCAATATACAGATGTTGATTGATACGAAGTCTGATTCATAAAATATAACAACATTGTGGTGCAGCAGACAAGTAAAAGTACCTGTTTTGTTGTCTTATATTGTTAAGGTGTCTAGCAAGGTCATCCCAATAAAGATTTGAACCTCCTTCAATCAATACCATCTAAGGTAACTCTTCCTAGAGGACCAAATTGGCCACTAAGGAAGTTAGTATATAGATAGTCACCAACAACTTTAGCATCATTTGTTGACAATATTTTATTTCGGGTTCAAGTTTTGTGCATGGACTCCAGTCACCACAATGGCCAGCAAAGTTCCAAATTGGAGTTCTTCCTGCTCCAAAGACATTGAGGAAAGCTAAGAGTACAATCTTGTAGTTACCAGTGTTACATGTTGAAGACAATGAGCCATCTCCTAGGTTTTGACCCCAGTAGATGGTAATGCCGGCATCACTTGGTGATGCTTTGACAGTGAATGAGGATATTGTTAAGACTAACAAAAACATCAGTGTTTGCATTTTGGAACTCATACTGTGCTTTTTTGTGTTTAGCTGGTTTGGTTGCTGTACATCAATTGAGTAATCCTTTTATTGAGGTTTTATGCTAAGGTTGTACTAACTTTTAAAAAACGTTTTATTGTTTAGAAAATAAGAGCTACAAAATTTTATTTCATACTATTATTCGATATTTTTATGATGAAAAATAAATTAAAATTAATTCAAACCATTACTATTATAATCAGTGTCACAAATCTATATTGTATCAATCGAAATCGTAAAAGTATTTATGGGACCGCAACCGCAGCAGTGTGCCCCATTTATAACGTGGGTGAATATAAAGATACTGGTAAATATTTATAATCTCTTAAAATTTTGGGGATAGGTGTTTGATCCAATCACAAGTGGACGTGTGGCAAGAATGAAGATAAAGTAACACATGTCATACTTTAACTGGTTGTTCTAAATTCTGAGTGGTTTTAAGCTTTTAGTATTTTGCACTTATCCAAAAAAAACACTTACCGGTAGCTTCGATCCAGCAATAGAGACATTATTTATTCATGATTTTTTCACTAGATCTAGTTTGAATAATAAAAAAAAAGTTACCTATCATTTTGAAATATGAATTTTTTTAATAAGTGAAACATCTCCTAATTTTATATTGATAATTTATAATTTTTTTAAAATTTGAAAGTTAATCAAAATATCTTATAAATTTTTGACAAAATTATTTCAAACTCCTCTAAGTTATTTTATTGTAATTGATTTGTTTTTAAATTTTTCTTGGAACAACTTAATTCTATATATTACCAAACATTGATACTATTAGGAGTATTTATATCTAAATTGATTCAAATAAAAATCGTAAACTAATATAAAAGAATAAAAAATTATAAAAAAAATTAATATTATTAAATGTGTTTGAATGTCATTTTGTAAAAACCATACAGTTTAATCGGATTTCAAATTGATTTTTCAAAACCGAACCAAACTACAAATATGTATTTTATGTTATTTATTTATTTTATTAATATGATATGTTGTGTTAATTTGTTATTTGATGATACTTGTTTTTTAAATATTATTTCTTAGCTTAGTTAAATCTATTTATTTTTATTATTTAATTCATTTTAACCATAACCGATTATTTTTATTTTTTATAATATTAAATTTAGTATACTATATATTATATATTCAAATATATTATTTATTAATATTTTTATAATCTTAATAAAAAATATAATTTATAATTTAGATATCTAAAAACTGATCTAAAATAAATCGTATGAAATTGAATCGGATTGGATCAGATTTTTTTGATTAATCATCTAAAATTGAACCGCGAGTAAATTTATCTTTGGATCAGATGAATTTTTATCTCAAAACCGATCCAAACCGAACCGCAAACACCCCTAGACACCGTTACCCTTTTCTAAAAAATTATGTTACAAAAATGCACATGTGACATTAACGTGCGTGACTTGTCACTAACAGCGATGACATGAAATGTTTTTATACTTTTTATTATTTTAATCCTTGAAATCACCTTTCTTCTTCATCAATAGCTTCATAGTGTATCAATGTATCAAAACGACGAAGTCAGAATTTTCTATCATTCATTTCAAGTGCAACAAATGGTGAAATCGAACCAAAATGTCTGTGTGGAGACAAAGCATTCGTAAGAAATGTTAAGAAGAGAACCAAACTTTGGGAAGCTGTTTTGGGACTGTAGATACTTTGTGGTACGTTTATTGCTATATTCTTCTATGTCTTTTATGGTTTTGCAAATTTTATCTTTTAGGTCGTGGAATATGTTGTTACAGAGTGGTGGTAATTGTGGATGCAACTTTTTTGACTGGTGTGAAAAAGATGATGAAGAAATACAACATTCACCCATTTTTAAATGTTAAAAATTTGAGACAAGGGATTCATAAATCTACACACTTAAAAGGGACGTTAAAAACAACCATGCAGACGACAATTACACTAAGGAGATGATGAAGAACATGTTGAAGATGCTAGTCTTTGTCATAATATTTTTACTTTTGATTATTGTAGTGTTGATATGACTTTTGGTTAAGAAGTGGTGATTATGTTATTTGTTGTTAATTTTATGCAGTAAGCACTTTGGTTATGCAGTAAGTACTTGGGTTAAGAACAATAGGTTATGTTATATGTTGGTAATATTTCAATGTAAGTAGTACGTTGTTAATGTAATGCAATATATACCTTGTTAAGGTGTAATTTTGCACTTTGTTTCTATAATGGTTATGTTTATATTCTGTCCAATTTTATATTGTAGAGTGAAATTTTGAACTCTACCGTTGTTACACCAAAATAAATGTCATATTTGTCACCATAAAGGAAACATGAAGGACCTATTTGTTACACGAAATAAAACATAAAGGACCTATTTATTATATGAAGGAAAACATCATGGACATAGTTGTTACAATATGGTATACCTTAAAACCTGTAAATTAAAACACATTTCTTTGTAACACCTCATTAGTGTAAACATAATGGACCAGTAGAAGGCTAAAGTCAGAATTTCATTGATATGACCGTATATGGTCCCAAAATAAGGCCATAATACATTCAAAACAGATATAAGGTCCAAATTCAGCCAAAATACACAACCATTAAGGCCAAAATTCATCCAAAATAGTGCCAAAATACAGCAAAAAATAGAAATACATAATTCATCCAAAATACATCTAAAACAAACATCCAAAATACATATATTGTTCACAAACTAATTGTGCTTTCTTCTTGTGGGCAGCTTTGGCCTGGTGCTTGTTGGTGGCTGAAATGCTACAGTTGCTTCCTGTTTTTCTCTTCTAAAAGCCAAACCCCCAAATAACTTCCTTGTTGATGATGGATGTGATTACCTTATTTGAACTCTTTGGGCTTGTGTAGCTTGGTTTTGGATTGATTATGATTGCCTCGTCTGGACTCTTGGAGGTGGTTGTGTGTTAGGCATATGTTAGTTGGGTTTTTTGTGGTTGGGCTTGTGTTGGTTAGGTTTGGGATTGTGTTGGTTGTTTGTTGTGTTTGGAATTGTGTTGGTTAGGTTTGTCGTGTTGATTGGCTTCATGTCGGTGCATTTGTGCATGAGGATTTATTGTGGCCTGATTTACCATACATTGAACATTTATTTGGTAGCCTTTTCCTACTAACAATTGTTGTATCCATGCTCTTTTAATCAACCTCTTTGTTTTTTCTTCTTTGTGGCCTCCCTGGTGCTCTTCTGGGTGGTGGTGGAAGTATGTCGGGATATAGGGTCTTTTCCATAAATTTTCACCATTGGTTGGATATATGAGTGGTCTATAATAAGACATATAAGTCGCATTCCTATATAAGGACTGAATGTAGTCAACTGGGTCTTCATGTCAACTTTTGATGTATGTAATTACTTGGTAGCATGGTATGCCCTTGAGTATCCAACTCGTACAAGAGCATTGTACCTACTTTAGATCAACTGCGAATTTATCTTCGGTCACATTTTATGTGCTTCATCCACATCTAATCCATCCTTGGCTTGATCATTTTGTCCAGCAACAAACCCATTACTCCTTGTTGAATACTTTTTATAGGGCAAGTATTTAAACTACCGTTTTTCATAGATACTGGTGTGATATCACCGTCATTCTATAGTTATATTTTTTTAAGTTGAGGATTCATAAAAGAGTTTGGTTTTGGTTTTAGTAACTGGAAGTTTCGATTTCATGCAAAGTATCAAGTACCGGTAAAATAGAGTTTTGGTTTTTTCACATTAAAAAGCATGTCAAGATTAGTGTTCGTTAACCTATTTCATATGTATTCAATTATCAAGCATATGAACTTATTAATGATCGATATATCCATGTACCTTTTCAATATCATTTATGTCTAAACGATATTGTGAGTATTATCATGTTAATTCTTAGATGATCTCTCAACCTAAATATTAACATAATAATCTTTAAATATCGATACTTGTGAATATCAACTTACAAATCTATGTCTAGAGTTTGCTCATTAATAGATGAATATCTTAGGTCAAGTTTGAAACATACTTCTCAATAGTGATCCAAACCATAAAAAGAATAATAAAATCAAAGATATTCAACATATATTTATCATCAACCAAGTTCATACACAAGATGATCAAAAGAAATACATAATAGTTAGGTTAACTACCTCTAATCTTGACACAAGATAATCTAGCTATCCATAGACATGGTAGCTTCGAGAATAAGAAACGAGAGAAGATGATCAAGCATCAACGGTGATTTCTCGACAATTAATGCCCTGATTCTTCGATTTCTTCTTCTATAATGTGTTATATCAGTTTTCTAGCTCTCAAATGTGTTAGCCTCCCAAAAATATCTAAAGACATTTATTTATACAAGTGGCAAGTTTCGCAGACCGCGCTAAGTGCAGTGTCGCGCACTAAGCGCACTTCACTAAAATGTTAAACCGCCCTTTAGCGTGCTAAGCGCAAACAGGCCAGGTTTAGCATGCTTTCCTCTGCCAAAAATTCCTCCTCAGCGTTGAAACCATGTTGAGCGTGACTTGAAGCACAAAAATCCTCCAAAAATTGCTTGAAATCCATCTTTAAGCTATTCCATTGTCCAAGCTTCAATCTAAAGCAAAAGCCTACAAATTTTAGACAAAATATGATTAACTACAAACTATTTAATTGATTAAATCAAAATACGATTTTTTTACATAGAAACAAAATGGAAATAACAGAATATGCGATAAATAGAATCGAAAAGCACCAATAACTATACTAAATATTAACACATTTTGGCAGCTAACAACTCTCCCAAACTTGCTTCTTTGTTTGTCCTCGAACAAAGATAAAACTCAAGCAAGAAACAAGATGAAACTTTAGAGAAGGAAAACAAAATAGAAATGGATGGTTCAAACTCACAGAAACACGCACAAGAGTAATTGTCAAATGCTTTCTCAGAATCAAACATGGTTATGAATTAAGTTCTAACCATAAAACATCAACAATGAAACATAAGCAACATCATGTTCAT